CAGTTGGACCCACAATACTTGCTGATATCGTCAATCCATCTTTTTTTAGGTTTCTTTCATAGACGCTTTTTATCAAGTGGGATCCATTGTATGACTGCCTTCGTCCACCTGCCATCAATTCTTCTTGCTATGTGACCAGCCCATTTCCATTTCAATTCTTTTGCTCTCTTGATGATATTGTATACTTTCTTTTTATATCCCTCACGCTATTTTGTATGAACAAGCAAAAATGATTTACTGTAGATCTATCTTCACTTATGAGCAACTGCAACTGGAATCGCATTGGTGCCACAATTTAGTAGAGATTTTTAATATGAAGTGAGCCACTCACCCCACTTTAACAAGTAAAAATCTGTCCAAAATTGCCTGAGGTCAAGTACAGCTTCAAAAGTTTGTTATGATGAAAAACATACAGCTATAATGTGGTTTTTTTAGCATCAGCTTGAATGAGTAAATGTTGTCATTTGTTGCCACAATTTTCTTCCTCCTTCATTCCTTAAGCTGTTGTTGTCAGTGTTAGACCTGCTGGTTGCATTCAGTTTCATAACACAGTGCTAAACTCTGCTACATTCTGTTCAATAGGTGTATCTTTAACAAACAGCTCCTTGAATCAAGTAAATGCTAGAAAGAAGGTTTATCGTATTAATACCACACACTCACATATGCTCTCTTGGTTAATATTAGGTAGGTGCAAAATAAAAATCTGCACTGAAGTGGCTCTTCTACAAAAAGTGCCATGACAAGATGAACCTATTCACAAATGGAGGATCACAAGAAGCCAGAAGTTCAGCATTGCTTTTTTTTCAGACAGTGTCTGCACAAATTAGTCTTGCAGAAGATAGCAATAGCAGCAAATAATAGCATTTAGACAACTTCATAGTGTTTATATAGCAGCAGTCTCTAAGCGGTTTACAGAGTCAGCATATTGCTGCCAACAATCAGGCTTCCCATTTTACCGACCTTGGAAGGATAAAAGGCTGAGTCAATTTCAGCCAGTCAGGATTGAATTCCTGGCAGTGGACAAGAGTTAGCTTGCAATGCTGCATTCCAACCATTTTGCCACCACAGCTCCTATTGCAGTTAAGCTAGTGTATATCTTCAGGATAGAGATTTCAGTTAATAATCCTATTCCTGTAAGAATTATTATTTAAGAGAATAATAATTTGAGTTCTGAAAAAGGGAAGAAGCATGCATATAGCATATGTAGGGTTCAGTATAGTAAACCTGTGATTCCGACTTGCTTTAGGAGTTCTGAGGGCTTCCAGATGTCTTGCCAAAAGTGAAACGTGCTCAGATTAGAGAATGAATGTTTCTATTTCTATACAGCCATTGTCTTGTGTTTTTTTTTTCCTCAGAAAACACAGAAGAAACTGCTTCAGGCTTAAGTGAAGAAAAGCCCCTACCACCTGCGCCTGTTCCAAGCCCAGTAGCTCCAGCACCTGCACCATCCAGGAGAAATCCACCAGGGGGGAAGTCTAGTCTAGTGCTCGGTTAAGCTCCATTTTCCTTCACTCCTTAACACTTGGAACTCGTGTCTGTCATCTTTGTTTTTCTTCCATGCTTGTGAACTGCACAACTTGAGCTTGACTGTACTTCTAAAACTACCATTAAAGGAGCACTTTATGTACTTCATATTTTTTTTGTTTTGTTTTTTTTCCAGCCAATCTTTCCCCAGACTTCTTGTCTTGTCTCTCTTGAGTCTAACGGAAGTGACATGTGTAATTTTTTTTTGTAATGGTAGACAGTGGTATTTGCTATACAGCCCATGGCTGACAAAAAAGATTTCTGAGGTGTATAGTAGTGTCTGAAACTAAGCTGGATTAAATTCTGAGTGTGCTAAGTGGCATTTTTGTCCTAAAACGTGTAGAACAGTCTTAATTGACTTAGAAGGGTTGGAAACTGGGATTGTACAGGTAGTGGATGAGTGACAAATGTATTCTCTTTCTGTATACAACTCTGCAACATATTTTTCCAAGGTATCATTCAATAATTGGTAAATGATTGAAGCCCTGTTGTGCACTGAAGAACTATCAAGTTGTGATGCGAGAAATTAACCATTATCCCTTGGATCTTGGTTCAGTCATAACAGGATGAGGCCAGTGCTGAAGATAAACTTAAAGATGTGAGATTTTGACTGTTCTTTGAATATCAGGCCCCATTGTAAATGATGAGGGGATGCATCTTATAAAAGTAAGTATTGGGTGGATAAAATTTTGGGGACACATTCCTAGTCCAAACAACTCCAGTACTATGCATGATCATGCTGATGCTTAAACAGAAGGTGGAAAAACTCAGCATTCTAAATGTGTATTGTACCTTGAAAGTTGGATTGTTGCTTAAAAATAAAGGATATAGAAATTTTGAATCTGTGTCAGAGCCTTATTTTTAAATTTACTTGGTTTTCTGCTTGAATAATTTCTGAAACAAAAATCCAGAAACGCAAAGAGAAAATGCATGGACGTTTTAAACTGTTTTATACTACAAACTGATGGAAGTAACACTAGTGTGCAGCTAGAGCCTTTCTCACTATTGGCATAGTCAAAATAATGTGTCTCTACATTTCGTACTAACAATAGCTCTGCATACAGGGTGGAGGAAACATTTTTCTTGAAAATAAAGGGGTTTTATGGCAATTTTTCTCTTTAATGTTTAGGTTTAAACATTAAATAAACCTAACCCACATGTTCTACTATTACCATATTAAAAATCCAGAGTTTGTAAGGGTATCAAAGAAAAGAAACTAGGAAAAAGGATGAAAGTTCCACAATTCAGAAAGTTCTTTTCCTATATCCCGGCTACACAGTTCAAGTATTGATGGGATGCACAAAATTTTGTGGAGTGGTTATATTCTATAGGAGAAAATTATTGTGTAAGTATCCCAATGGCAAGGTTTGAAGCAGAAAGATATCACCATTTCTGAATACTTTGTGTTTTGACTGATTTGGTTGGCTTTGGGTCCATCAATTAAGCAATGCCATCTAGAGAAAGCAGGGCTTCCTCGTCATAGTATCTGCTGTCTGGCCGCCAGAGATTAGTACAGCCCCATCTTGCCTGCCTTTAAAATCCTTTTTTTTTCCATCTCCCAAGCTATGAGATAGGGGTTGATGTGGTTGGGGATTATGTTGTCCCTTGCGCACTGGTGTTTTTTAACAGAATGTTTCATTTAACTTGTGAAGATGGCCAGAGTCTATTTAGAGTTCAATAAATTCAATAAATCCACTGTATTCTGGAACTCCAGACTTGGATACGTGTGCTTTTACACTGCAATATCTTTATTTCAGTCTTTGATTAGCAATATAAAAAAGAGAACTATGAAGTTAATAGTTATAACATTAAAACAATCTTTGTCTAAAATTTGTAAGGATTGTGACTATAGATTTACAAGGCTGAGATAATAGAAGACCATAAAATCAGTATTTCTAAAGTGCTAGGGGTTAACTAAAATGTAATTAAGTTTTAGTGTTGAATAAAATATAATGTTCTGTATGATTTAAAAAGGCTAAAAAAATAAGATGTGGCAACAAAAATATTGTACAACTGAATAACTGGAGGCTAACAACAAGCAATAATAGCTGTTTTGAGACTGACTAGCTGGCAGTCAATAGTTGCCTGCCTCAGTCTTCTCTTTGTTAAATTAAACATGCCTAATTCTTTCAGCTCTTCTCTGAACTCTTTCTAGGGCCTCAGTATCCTTTTTTGTACTGTGATCAGAAATGGATACAGTACTGTATTCCAAATGTGGCTTCACCACTGCAGTATAGAACAGTACTATCACTTCCCTTGATCTTGATACTATCCCTCTATTAACGCAGACAGTGCAAAAATTAGTTCACTGCTACAGCATCCATCATAGAGTGTGCAAACTTCAAATATCTGGATTATGCAGTGGATGTACTTTGGATATGACAAAACTGTATTATATAGACTTTTTTTTTCAAACTTGGCAACTTTAATTAGTGTGGACTTCGACTTCCAGAATTCCTTAGCCAGCAGGGCAAATTCTGGGAATTGAAGTCCATACATCTTCAAATTATCAAGTTTGAAAAACAAGTACAGACCAACAATGAAGTTGTACAGTAGAGAGATTATGGTAAAATAATGCACTATTCTGTACCATATAGCAGTGTTCTCAATCTTGACAATTTGAAGTTCCTGGACCAACTCCCAGAATTCCCTAGTTAGTTTTGCCAGCTGAGGAATTCTGGGAGTTGAAGTCTGCACAATTTCAAGTTGCCAAGGTTGAGACACTTTGCTGATTCTTACACATGTGGTTGATTAGTTTGTGGCTCTGTGAACTTGTGACTTTTGCTTCAAATTTTGTGTTAACTCAGGTAACTGGTTTCAGGTGCACCCCATCTAAAAATCATACAAAATCAGGAAAATACATGTTTGATTTTTAAAGATCAAACCCAGACCTTAGCAAAATCAAAACTGCAATATCACAGAATAAATGTTTACCATCTGGTTTAAATCTAATTGTTATCTACCGGTTGATACCCGCTGATTTTTTTAGGTAAGAAAAAAAATATTTAAACAAAATTTTAGGATTAAAACTGGGAAATCTTTACCTTTTGATGCTGCTATTTACACAAAGTATCCTTGCGTTCGCTTGAAACTAATTAAGGTCTTTATATACGATGTATAAAGTCGTCTCGTGGAATAATGCGATCTTAAAAAGGCTCAGTAAATGAATCTCAAACGGGACTCCTGTCCTGAAGACACGGCAAACGGAGCGAGGCCAATTCTCTTCTGTCATCGATGAAGGGGCTCGGATTTACTCCTTTCCCACGAAGTTCTCGACTAGAAGACCTCCAAAGTCCCTTCCAACTCTGTTATTCTGCTTCTTTCAGGTCTCCCCGCCTTCATTTGCGACCCCGCACTTAAAAAAGCTCCTTGGCCCTTCCGTACCGCGACTCCATTTCACCGGAAAACCCTCGATTCCTCCTCTATCTTCTTGCTGGCCTGAATCGAGGACTTGGGGGCGGCGCCGCAGTCTCTTTGCCTCTCGAAAGACATGGCCGGCGGTGGGCGTCCCTCGCTCCGCGTGCTGGTGGACATGGATGGGGTCTTGAGCGACTTCGAGGGCGGGCTGCTCCGCGATTTTGTCGCTTCCTACCCCGAGGAACCTCGCGTGGAACTGGCGCAACGAAAGGGCTTTTTAGCGCTGGATCAATACCGGCGCCTGCGGGAAGACCTAGGGGTGAGCTGCTGGTAGCTGGATCCCCGGGTAGTTGGAATTCTGGATCTCCTTCCGTCCGCTTTTGTTATTCCTGCAGCTAAAGGAGAACGGGCAGAAATGCTGCAGAGGGGGCAGATCCTCAGGTTTTCTCCTTGCCACTTAGATGGCGCGCCTTGCATTTTTTCAAACCGTAGTTTCTGTTCATGCCGAGATAAACATAGCAATGTTAAACGGCTTTTACAAAAATGTATCTCTATCTGCTTTGAAAATGATTTGGAAGAGTTCTCACACAAGCCAAAGGCAGATCTGGTGTTCCTTAAGGTGGAGGGGAGGGGGGGAGGCTAATTTTTGTCAGGTTCCCACATCTTTTTTTTTTTTTAAAGATACAATTGTTTTAAGGAACCATTCATCAATCCACCTCTTAAACGAATAGCCTTTTTTTTTTTTGAAGCCAGCAAAAGAATGCAAAAGTTTGAGCTGCTCTATTGAGCGCCAGGTTACTGCAATATACAAGGCCCAAAGCACTTCTGCCTATAAATGAGTACTGTACAACTATTACAGTAATGTCTGCAACTTTAAAGTTTTAAAATAAACTTTTAGCTGAAGCATTATGAACCTGCTTCATGTCGTGAGCGTTTAATTGGTGGAGTGCTTAAGAGTGCAGCCATGTGTAATTTTTAAAAGCACAGTATTGGATATATAAAACACTGTACTCGTTTGAGAACTGATAAAAGCTGCTTCTTCACTGCTGGTGTTAGTCTGCTGTAAACCTTCCCTTCTAACTGCAGCAGGTGGCAGCCTCTGGCTCTCCTCTGGATTTGAAAGCTGAGCAGTGTCATCTGTTTAGGATTTAAATCAGGGGCTCCCAGGGCTGTAACTAAACTGGGAAGTCAAGACGCACCCCAAAAGGTGGAAATGTCAAGCCACTTTTCAAACTTGTCCAGGAGTTGAGGATGTCTTTGCTTTTTATTATCTTTCCTTTATGTCACCAGAGAGACATAACTGTGGGTTCTTAGGTGCTCTCCCATATTTTCATTTCTGCCAGGAGCTGCTGCACTGTTTGCCTTTATACTGAAATAGGAAGAGAAACTAGAACAGGCTTGTAGTAAACTTCCTTCCAGAAGCTTTCAACACCACAAAGTAAAGGAGTTTGAAATCATATCCTGAAGAGCAAATGGCAACTTCTCTCAAAGTCAAATGTTTTAACACAAAAACTTTTGAAAGGAGAATATACATGTTTTTTTTTCTTAGCTGGGCATCCCTTTGGTACCAAGAACCACAAAAATTGCTGGGAGATACCCCTTCCCCTTTATAATATCTGCCCTCTCCCTCCCTTCCAGCAGTCCTGGGCTGTTTTCTTGGAGGAAGGGCAAAAGAAAGAGACTGTTTCCTTTCTCACCTATACCTTGATGCAGATCACAGACACTCTGCAATCCTGAGAAATGGCATAGGCAATTAGTTGAACAATTGGCGGGCAGGAACCAAGTCTCTGCATTTTCAGGCATAAGTGGCCTTACTTAGACAGCAAGGAAAGTGTGAAGAGTTCCCTTGTGTGAATGCAGCTTAATGCAGCCCATACTTGTGTTACTAATGCAGCTTAATGCAGCCCATACTTGTGTTACTAAAAAGAAATGATCTCTAGCATAGTGTTTCTCAACCGTGGCGACTTGAAGAAGTGTGGATTTCAGCTCCCAGAATTCTCTGGCCAGCTTTAGTTCTGGGAGTTGGTCCACATATCTTCAAGCGACCAAGTTTGAGAAACATTGTTCCGGCAAGTCATCTATGCCAGGGCTTTTCAATCTTTTCACCCATTGTACCACTTTTAGGATATGGCAACATCCGAGTACCACCAGTCGCCTAACAAGGTGTCAAAAACTTGATGACCCCCCCAAAAGGAAAAAAGTGATAAAGTACAGATAGTCCTCGACTTACAACAGTTCGCTTAGTGACTGTTCGAAGTTACAATGGCACTGAAAAAAGTGCCCCCCAAGCCACAGCCGAGCAAGACATCTGCCTGCCTGCTCAGCGGCGCTCTTCCTCCTGTCCGAGGTTTTCATTGTTGTGAGCATTTCTGTTGAGGATTGGCAGCGGGGGTGGGGTGGGGGGTGTTTGGTTTTTATTCCCCCCGTCTGCTGGGTGGTTGCAGCAGGTTTTGATCACTTCACTGGGACACTGTGACCGTCATAAATATGAATCAGTTGCCAAGCATCTGAATGTAAATCACAAGACCCTGGAGATGCTGCAACATTCCAGCTGATTGGTGCTTCTTCAGGGCTCAGCAGAAGCACCAGGATCAGCGCCGAGCTCCAGCTGGAGCCTGGTGCTGATCCTGGCACTTCCACTGAGCCCTGCAGCTCCAGCCGTCTCTCACTCAGGCTTGTGCGGTGCTGCCACTGGTTCAGCTCATTCCCCTTCCCCACTACTACTTTTCTAGGATGGTCGCGTACCACCTGCCAGGTGCCAATGTACCACAGGTGGTACCCGTACCACTGCTTATTCATCCTAATAATTACAAAACAGTTAATGCTATTTACCTAAGCAGTATTTTGCAAGGTTTGAGAATCATTTTAGTGTCACCCCTCAATTACAACAATGTTGTTCACTTTTCTGAGTTTTTGAGTAAGGAGCAGATTCAAGAGTATAAACTTAATGTAAGAGTATAAACAAACGAGATAGAACTATAAGCATGACAGTCACGCTAGCTATTTCAAAAAATGTCTTGCACCAATGACCAATTCTTACCTTTTTGCTCTAAAAAGCAGCTTGGCCTTTAGTGCTACTTACCTGACGCCTTGGAATATGGTTTTGGAATTAACTTAAAACATAACATCTGGTTTCTTTATATGATCTTTACAGCTTCCTGAATTTTAAACCTTAATTAAATTGTCTTAACCATAATTCTAAATATGTGACTTTTTTTTAGGAGAAAATAGCCAGTGTCTATGAGTCACCCGGCTTCTTTCTGAGTCTGCAGCCCATCCCAGGAGCTATTGAAGCGATGCACGAGATGAATCAAATGCCCAAGTAAGGACCATTCAACATTAAGAACATTTTGGCTTCAGCATATATTTTCTTCTTGTAATGAAGTATATCATGTCTTTTCAGCACTGACGTTTTTATTTGCACAAGTCCTATACGGAAATATGAATACTGCGTTTTGGAAAAGGTTGGCAAGTGTCACTCTTCCTTCTTTCACTCTTTAACATGCAAAGCACCTATCAGTCAAGATGAGGGATTCTGTATGTTTTAAAACTCTGTTCTTTCTTTGGCTTTCGTTCCTTGCCTCCTCCCTGGTTAGTGACTAATGACAAGACAATGTCACAGCAGGTATGGGTGGCTTTCATACCGTGCCTCGGCTTTAGTTCTTCTGAGATTACAGAAAAGTTCTGTCTTAGTCCAGGGTACTAAACTCTTAAGAAGATTACTAGCCATTAAAATCCAAATCCTCCATTGCCCTATACAAACTGAAATCTTGCCAGTACAAAGCCACTAAGGAGTCAAAGCGCTTTGAAAGAAAAAAAGATATCAAGTATAATAAACAAAATATGTACTCCACTCATCAAAATATTTAAATGATACATACTAATCAGAAAGGTTGGCTCTTTCAAATCAGCACAGGCCTTGTCATCCCCAAAGGCTATTGCTATCTGATTTTAAAACGTATAAGTGGCATTTTAGAAAGGATTATGTTGTCCAATATTTTATACATATGTAATTATACATACGCATAGTTAAGATGCTGAAGCTTAAAAGCATATTTTATGATTTGTGTAGTAGTTTCCTAAGTTTGTCGCTGCCACCTAGATATGAAAGATATGCTTTATTCTTTTCTCTCCACAATATTTATCAATTTATTACGAAGAGTTTTATGCTACCCTCCATCAAAATTATGAGGATAACAGACTACTATTATACACTAGCTATATAGGAATAATTATTGTCTGGAAATCTGTCTTGAAAGAGCTGTCTTTCAAAGTTTGAAAAATCTGGAAAGTCAAGGAAAGCCAGTTTATGTTGCCCTCCAATTTTTTTGCTGTACTGCAGCTTCATCACCTTTAGCCAGCCCAGCCCATTATAAGCGACTAGAAGAATTGCAGGCAAGCCTCTGGAGCAGAAGGAAAATTTGAATTCAAGAATGGGCTGACCTGATTCTTGTCTCCGTAGAAAAATATCCCCCTCCCATACCCCAGAGCGTCCCTATGGAAGAGGCAATTGGGTAAGAGCTTTAAAAATGGCTGATTGCTCTGTTCTAAGCCTCATCCTAGTCGTGATGTAGAGAGCAGAGATTTTCAGGGTTTGGGGAATCCAGAAGCCACATATTCCCTAACCTTGTTAAGAACATAGTGACATTAAAGGCTAAAACAGTGGAAAAGATAACAGAAGGCATGTTGCAATTCTAATAATAAACACATATATATTCCTGAAGGACAGTGCTGGGCAGTTGCAGAGTCACAAAACACCCTCATAACAAATTTGAGAGCAAACCTGCTTCTTAGCAATGCAATTTTCTACTTTTGTGAACCATATAGTGAGAATTTTTATTCTGTAAAAAAAAAGGAGTGCTAACCTGGTGTACTTTCACCAGTAAGGCCAATTTTTCATTTTAAAAGGAATTTTTAAGGAAAGGAAATTTTAAAGGAAATAGGATGGGCATGCTGCAGATCCCCTCAGCCGAAGAATGTTAGCTCACAGGGACTAGAAGATGAGCTTTTTCTTCAGCAGTCCCTGCTCTGTGGAACATCCTCCCTCTGGAGATTAGAATAGCCCCAACTGTATAGCCTCCCATAAAACTTTAAGACCTGGCTGTGCTCCCAAGCCTGGGGTGCTACATGCGCCAAGAGCCCTGCCTCCTGGCTATATTGTTTACAGGCCAGATTTCTTGCTCTGAATGTACTCAAATTAGATGTTTTAATGATTTTTAGAGTATTAATGGCTTTTACTGTTTTTCTTGTTTTAAAATGCTTTACAACTTTAATTGTAACTAGCTGTACCCAGCCACGCGTTGCTGTGGCTCAGTCTGGTAAAAGCGTGTGTTGCTTTTACGTCCAACAGATGGTGCTGTTTTTCAAAAAAAGCATGTTTTTATCTGTCACAGGTGTGACATCTATATAATATCTTTCTATATAAATAAAAATGTAAATGTTCGTTTGTTCAAAATCTTAAATCTCCGAAAGTTCTTCACCGATTGCTTTGAAATTTTGACACAACGTTGCATTTGAACACGCACGTGTTTTTATATACCTATATTATATAGATGTCACACCTGTGACAGGTAAAAACATGCTTTTTTTGAAAAACAGCGCCATCTGTTGGACATAAAAGCAACACACGCTTTTACCAGACTGAGCCACAGCAACGCGTGGCCGGGTACAGCTAGTAGGTATATAAAAACACGCACGTATTCGAATGCAACGCTGTGTCAAAATTTCAAAGCAATTGGTGAAGAACTTTCGGATATTTAAAATTTTGAACAAACGAACATTTACATTTTTATTTATATAAGATATATGTTTCTGAACTGGGAGCAGTCATTTGCCGAGATGGGTGGCTATAGAAATCGAATAAGTAAGTAAGTAAGTAAGTAAACAAACAAACAAACAAAACACTGAGATCTGTTCTTGGAGCCACATTACCAGCCTATGCACATTTACTCAAAAATAAGATAGACTGTGTTCATGACTGTGTTCATTGAAACTTAGTCTTTGAAAGTTTGGAGAGGATCAGCAGCTTGAGGTACAGTCCAAGCATTCTGTCTTAAAGCTATATAGGATAAGTCTACTAATGTTTAATAGTAAAAAAAAAGGCTTTCTTGAAAGCTGTAAATACCTTTCTTCTAATACTGCTTTCTTATCACTTGACAGTACAGATGGGTTGCGCAGCACTTAGGCCCTAACTTTGTGGGGCGAATAATTCTGACTAGAGATAAAACAGTTGTTTCAGCTGATCTGCTTATTGATGACAAGGACACCATTAAAGGTATGAGGAGATATGCTACCACATCAACTTTTTATCAAAGTGCTGTATTATATAGTTATATTTTTAATGTCCCTTTCTAATTCTTCTCAGGGGTAGAGCCAAATCCAAGCTGGGAACACATCTTGTTCTCTTGCTGTCACAACAAACATCTAAAGCTACAGCCACCACGGAGGAGACTTGAATCTTGGACTGATGACTGGAAGGCGATACTGGAGAGTAAACGCTCCAAGTGAAGCATAAAGAAAAGAACATTTATTTCAGCTACCATCAAAGGCTTTGGGAAGTATTTGCTGATCACCAATCCCAACTGGAAACAGAAACAGGTTCTTCAAGTCAAATGATCCATATGGGAATAGGATTATATCTAATTCTAAATGTGCTTGAATGATTTGACTTATTAAACATTTTAATGGAATGTTTGTTATGCTTGCCAATTAATTAAATGAACAAAAGAGCTCTGAAAATGTAAGACAGTTTTTGACTCATTATCTTTCCCCCCGCTACTTACTGAAAAATAAACTTAAGTCATACAATGTATGTATGTATGTATGTATGTATGTATGTATGTATGTATGTATGTATGTATTCTCCCAGCTGTCTTCTACAAACAGTCTAGAATAGTTATCAAGGCCCTTTAGCAACTGGTTTATAGCAACTGGTTCATATTTCTAAATAACCTGAAAATGAATTGAAAAGCACATCAGAACGTGAAAGGAACCCATCTGAAAATCCACCGTATGCCTCCCAAGGAAACTCTCAGGACTATTTACAGTCATTTTTAAAGCAGAATACCTGTAGCGAGTTCTTTCTCTTTTCCTCTGAGATGTGTGACAGGAAAGAATCCTGCTCCTCATTCAGGGAGGATCTCGCTGGCTGCCTCCTGGGCTGCCTCCATCCTGGGCAGTGGAATTCCGACGGCTGTGTTCCTGGTGAGGCTCCTGGCCTCCTCCACCTGAAGGGGACTGCAATAGTCCTCAAGGAAAATAGTGGCCAGGTTTTTCAGCCTTCTGTTGGTTGAGAGGGAGAAGCGCAGCATGCACTCAATCACAGGGAGGGCGGTGATCTCTTGGCGAGACTGAGCTGTAGACAAGTACATTAGAGTTGTAACTGCAGACAGGACAGTCTCTTCGTTGGCACTGGCCAGACAGTTGACAACAGCTGACACCCCACCCGCCTCTAGTATATAGTCTTTGTTGATTTTGTCCAGGCAGAGATTACACAGTCCTCCTGAAAAATGAGAGAATGAGGTGGTAAAGATTAACAACAGGATTGTTTGGTCCATTTCATTTTAATAATAATGTACATTTCAGTAGTTCTACGACAACTTGGTCTCTTGGTCCTGTCCATAAATGGTTTGGGGATACGTCTGATACAAGAACTGAACTGCTCATTTGGTGACCATTCAAACTTACAATGACTCTGAAAAAGGAGGTTTATGACTGACCCTTGGAAGTTGCAGCCATCACAGAATCCTGAAGACATGCGATCACAATTCGGGTGCTAGACAACCATCATACATTTATAATTTAAAATGTGTGATCACCAGCCAAACAAGCAAAGTCAACGGGGAAGCTGGCAGCAAGTAACAAGCCATGTCACACGATGTTGTATTTAACAACCGTGGGTAATTCACTTAACAGCTGCAGCCAGAACTGATGTTGTAAGTTGGTGTATTCATGTGATGTTTCACTTTAAAACTGTGTCGCAATTGCAGTTGGTACCTGAGGTCTATAAGCAAACATGCAAGCTATTTATATAAATGCTGTCCATCAAAAATAGCTTTCAGGAGGTGCAAAACAGATCTCTGCATCTGCAGAATCCTTACATTGGAAAACTTGAGTGAGCATGCTGAGAGCTAAACTGAAACAACCATTACTGTACTCACAGGTCATAGTATGGTCATACCTACGAGTAAAACCCGTCATAAATACTGTCCTGTCAAACGGGAAGGCACAGCAGAGAAGGACCAAATTTCCTCAGTTCAAATGACCAACTTATAACAAAGATACATTCAGAAACTTAAAAGTCATAAAATACTGCTTGTAGATTTTATACACAGATTATGAATCTGTGCAACTGTTAGGGAGAAAGAATAAAACAGTACACCTCATGAATTAAAAATCTAGAGTACCAGAATTATGATAAAATATTGTACAAATTTGGAAAAACCTTTATTCTATTTGCAAAATAGCCTACACATTTGGATTTTTGGGACCAAAAAGAGGAAAGACAGGTAAGAGAAATGATGCAGAGTTGACAAGCACCCTCTAAGACAGGGGTCTCCAACCCCTGGTCCATGGACCAGTATCGGGCTGCGGCATGCCAGCAACCGGGCTGCACAAACAAGCAAAGCCCCATCCGTGGAATGCAGGCAGCACAAAACCACACCCCATCCGGTCCGTGGAAAAACCTCTTGCCATGTAACCAGCCCCTGGTGCCCAAAAGGTTGGGGACCTTTGCTCTAAGAGCCAATATACCATAGTTTATGTTTAACTATTTTGACCTAGCCAAAAGTTCCTCTGTGCAAAAAATATTGTTGAATACATAGTTACCCCTTATAAAAATCCTACTTATTTTTCTAAAGTTGAAATCTGATAAGTAGTTGCTTTATTAAAAAAATTAAGTAATCTACATACTTAGTTTTAATTGCACTTGATTTTGTTATGAAAACCTTTAAAATAAACCAGTCAGGCTAATCTCAACACTAGAAAATCCAGTTTGCAATAGTCATTGCACAAGAGAATGTTACACTTTATATCAGGGGTATCAAACTGCCAGCCCACGGGCCGGTTGCATCATATGGAAGCTGCGCCCACCCCAGCTCCAGCAATGCAAAAAAAGTCACGACACGTCACGTGACGGGTTTGACACCCGTGCTTTATATTATTGCTCTCAGCTATACTCTGGCTTATATTTGCTGGTGTATTTTGCTCTTCCTCTTCCCATCATTTTCAAAATCTATTCTCTGTAATACCCTACCCAGTTCTTCAGCCTATTTGCATACCTTTGCCAGAGAGTTCTTAAGCCAAGGATGAGGAAACTAGCCCTCCCACTTTTCTGATCATTGCAGGTTAAGGCTTCTGGAAATTTAGCAGCAAATTACTTAATTACAGGTTCTTCTTCACATCTTAAACTGAAGACAGAGTTGAACACTGCAATGGAACACACTAACATCCTAGCTTCTCCTATGTGCTATAACTGTTGAGAAATGATTCTATTTCATGGAAAATGTTGAAGTCCAGACCTTACCAAGTGCAAATTCCACAAGACTGTCATTGTCCTCAGTCAGCATGTCCAGAAACAGATCCAAGACCCTGAGCTGCCGCAGATATTCATAATTTTGGGGGTCATAAGCAAAATTGGCCAGATTAGCCAACACTTGCTCTTTGGCACCTGCAACATAAATGAAAGAACTCTTAATATTAAAAAAGCACCTGTAAAAGCCAATGTGAAACTAAGAACTGACCAATAAATTACATTCACCTGAGTTATCTGTCACTTGGAATTCAGTAACTAAGGCTTGCAAGTATTCAAGCCGACCCAGGCCTGCCAACTCCTTCTGATTTTGGGACATAGATGCTAGATAAATAGAAGACAAAACAGTATTAAGAACATCCGTTGGTGTTATGGCAGGTGTCACTGCTTATTATAAATGTATGCATTTCAATTATCCCAGTGTATGTTATTCAGTTCCATCTTCAAACATACCAGAGTGTTATATAAAAACATTGCTAGGTAACCGTGCACAGTAACACTCAGTAATAATTTTGACATAAAGATTGTAACGCTTCTCTTCCAGCAAGTTCAATTGACTGATGGCATTTGTTTGATTTTATTTTATTTTTAGAGTTGGGGTTTCTAATTCTAATTCTTTTTGATTATGTTTAGGATCTAAATTTAATTAATTTCTTTAGATTTAGAAGATTTATTTAATAATTAAATCTTCCTTCCTCCTGGATTACAATAAAGTTGAATTTGCCAAATATAGCACATTTTTCCTAAACTGAAGAAGTGTTGTCTTCTGTTAAAAAAAGAAACTCATAAACTTTAAACGAAGCACAATTTATTTAATGGGGTGTTTTTTCCCCCAGTATTATTCTGCCAAATGCATCACAAACTGAGAATGGAAGTGATACCCCTGTTTACAATATCCATCTTATAAGGATGTGGGGTCACTTCAGGAGGATTAACTTGTTCTGGGAATAGCCACTGATTAATGTTTCCTTTAATAATATCCTATTTAAAATGCAAGCACTGTCTATTTATTTGTATCCCGCCTTTATTATTTTTACAAATAACATATCCAACATACCTTCCTCCTCCTATTTTCCCCACAACAATATCCCTGTGAAGTGGGTTGGGCTGAAGAATGATTGACCCAAAATCACCCAGCTGGTTTTCATGGCTAAGGCAGGACTTGAACTCAAGGCCTCCTGTTTTCTAGCTTGGTGTCTTAACCACCACTAGACCAAACTAGCTCTCATATTGTTAACATGGTAGGTTCTATAAATTTACTATAACATTGGCATTGGTTTCTAATAGCGTTCCTTTGGTGTCCATGGTAAATGAAATTTCATATTCAGATCCAAGTTTTAATAACATAGCAATAGCAACAGCACTTAAAGACTTATATACCGCTTCAGTGCTTTACAGCCCCCTCTAATCAAGCATTCAAAAAACAAACAAAAAAGGATTCGGTTATAACCTAACTATGTTAAGACTTAAGGATCTTATTTCTTCATACAGACAACTAGCTAATAAAAATATTTACCTTCGTTTGCATATTTTTTCATATAAAAGGAACCACAGTGATCATCAATATTACATTCGTGAGTGTAATGCTAATACCGTACCAGGGTCTTCCTCCAAATGACGCCCCGAAAAACTCCCCAAAAGGGCAGCGGAGCCACCGCTTCCCCTACCCGATGGATTACCTGGATTCTCCAACAAGCCCTGGGAAATGGGGGGGTGGGGGGAGAGGACAAGAAATCAAGTCAATAAAAGCAAAGACCGGCAGAGTTAAGGTTTGCGGAACAGGAAGCCGGAAGTTACGTATAGGGACAAGGGGAAAGGTCCCCTCTCAACGACATAGACTAAGTCTCGTCCCCACATGCTGTAGTTCCGTGTTTGGTGCGGGAGCCCTCTGAAAGATTCAGTAGGCGGAGCTTCCCTGAAGTTCCCGCGGCCGCCGCCTCTGCTCTACGGTGGCCGGTCTCTCGATGATGGATGCTACGGGAAGAATCGCTTTGGTGTACGGCTGGTGGGTCGCAAAGGGCCGCCCGACCCGGCTGGAGGAAGTTGGGGACCCGCAATGTTTTGAATTAAAAGTTTCATACGTATTTAGGAGTAAACCTAAATACTCCAGATCGAAGTAAAACTCAACTTTCGTTGGAAAGTTGGCCGGGCTGTATCCCTGGGAGTCTCTCATTCCGAGCACGACTAGGCAAGGGTCCGCATAAAGACGCCCATCCAATGCTGGCGTTTGGGAGCGAACCCCTGGCCGTAGCGGAAAGGGCTGAAGGTATATACTATATATATATATATATATACTATATACACACACACTATATATATATATATATATATATATATATAT